CCCTCTTACATTTATAATTTGTCAACAGATCTATGATATACATACACTGGGATCTTCGTTGTAATCTACCAGACTAGCCAATTATATAGTCAATTATATATGCACATTAAAGACTTTAAGCAGATTTATCGTGATATTTTTTAAAACAGTTTAATTTAGAATGAAATAATAGACTATTTTGTTAAAGCTCATATACCTGTTATCTATTTTTTTTAATTTTTATCTTATTATGTCGAGAGAGATAAGAAAATGTAATCTTTATGGCTATGTGTAATATAACAAAAATATTACAGAATCTTTAAAGCAAAAATGTAACTGGTCTTTTTTCTCGTTTTATTTCTTTTATATCTTTCATCCTTTCATATTTTCTTACCCTTTTTATAATGTCACACTTTGCATTTTAATTGCAGAAGATAGAGGATACAAATAAATAAATTAATATTATTTAAAGATTCATTATTTAATTATGTAGGAATTATATTTTTTCACAATTGTATAGAATTATTCCATTTATTCCTGTATAAAAAGATTTGTGATACAGGTATTTTTATTCTGGGTTCTGGATTCTGGGCTTTAAAACTTTTGTTACTTTTAAACTGTGGAATAAACATGTGGATATTGCATATATACATTCGTCTTTGCACAAATGTATAAGAATTTACAGCCTTGCTACAGTAGCACGAGATATAAAACGTATGTCAATTATATATTTAAATTTAATACTTATGGCTGTTGAAATAATATAATCAAATTTTAATACTAATTCTACTTAATACTTAATTATAACGTATATATACGTAATTTCGTTTAATATACCGATTGTAACGTATTATGCCGTTGTACGTCGTTAACAGTAATATAATCTGTTTACGCATTAACTTGTGATACAAGATTGGTATATAATGGCAAAAACTACTTATATATCTAATAATTATAAATCTAATTATTAATAATACAGACTCTTTATTATAAAAATTCAACTTAATTTTAACGATACCTAAAAAATCTAAAAAGGCCATTTGGTTTACTAATAACATAATGACACGCAATTAGATTTATAATAAATAAATATGAGCGTACCCAATTGAAAAACAAGGTATTCTTCTCGAAAAATTCTTCAAAAGAACAATCATCATTAAGTTTTCTTAGAGAGACAATAAAATGTTTTTCTTTTATATGGATACATAAGATTTATGTAGCAAAACGTACTTTATTTACAATTTCTACTTATTTATAGAGAAATAGTAAAAATTGCATTTTTGTACTTATTTTATCTGTATCTTTTTTATATGTAATTAAAAAAGATATTTCTTTTCCTCTTTTTCTATAATTTTTTCAATAAATTATTTCTACATTTTTCTTATTTAGCGATAAAAAAAGTAATATTCCATCAAAGAATTTGAAACCGGGTACATCTCATGTAAATAACAATAAAGAATTTCGTGTATCGTTATCACATATGTCAGAAATACATTAATACATAAATGCATTGTCATATGACAAATCCAAAATGTCTACAATTGTCTGCTTAAAAAACAAAAAAACAAATACTTAAGTATCCTAAATGTGTCGCAATGGCATTATGTTCACATAATGTGAATTCAATAAAATTGTATAAAATTACTTTCCTGCCGATGTGGCATTTACCATATTTTTAATGTGGAAGCAGAAAAATATGTGACTATTATATGATTATACAGATTTTATCTCGTGTATATAAGCGACTGAGTATTGTTACATTACATTGCACTTACAAAAAGATTTTCTTTAAGTATCTTTGTATATTATTCTTATTAAATACATGCGCGATTTATGTTAAGAAGTTATTGAAAAATTTTTTACGTATATATCTCGATAACGATAATCTTTATCATTATTTTTGCTCTAATAAAAAATTCTATAAAATCTCATAATAAAGTTAAAATTTGTTCTTTATATGTGTATAAAATATCTAACTAAGCACTTTTTCGTAAAGTTAAGAAATCTGTTGATGCTATTGACATCTCAAGATTCTTACATAAATGGAAAAATAGGTTCTTTTGGAAGGCACGATATACTCTTCGTAATACCATAATCTTAAATATAACTTTTGTTTTTTCGTCTATGTCTATGACATTGCACGATTTCTCTGCACTCCAATAGAAATTTATTAATATAACAAGTCTTGCATCGGGGTACACATTAACTGCAACATACAATAATATTCTTGTAAGCTTGTACTTGTCAAAAACAAAAAAAGAATTACCATGTTTGAAATATCGCACAAATATAAAGCAAAAATCTTTATATAACATTTTTAATAAACAAGAAAAATGTTTAGTCATTTCTATGTTATGTCATTTCCTATGTTAGAAAAAATTTATTTTACACTTTCAAAAATATTATTAGTATCCAAAAAATGAAATGTATGTGCAGTTAAAAAATAAATTTATCATTTATTTAAAAATTCTTAAAAAATAAAAATTAGGCCACTATTCTATCTCAGTTTTTTATCACTCACCTCATATTATAATGATGAACCGGTTTTCGATAGAGTTCGAAAGCGCTTCCTCTTTGCTCGCGACTACCAGCCAGATCTAAACCACTAGGTTCTCTATTATGTCCAGGATTAGCAGATGGATAAACCGAACCCGCGGTACCATGGGGATTATTACCATGCATGTACCCATTGTGATTTGTGCTGTTCCGATTATGCAGTCCGAAACTGATCTGGCCGGCACTGTTGCTGTGAGAATGCGCGGTAGTCACTGGCGGGCTGGAATGAGAGTGCGCGTGGCTGTGGCTGAGACTATGACTGTGCGTCGGCGTCGTGAGATGATTTAGATTGTGATGTGAATTCACGAGATTGCCCTCATTGTAACGACCGGGCGGCGGAATGTTGTAGTAATACTGGTTGCTGTTACGCTGCACATTATTTTCTACCTGAATGAAAATAAAAACTCATAATGTTATATACATCCAGAGCGCGTGCGCATTTGGAAAAAAAGTAATTTTTATAGTTATTTGCATTTATAACACAATTACCCCATTATGTACATGCGATGTGGCAATGGAATAACTTTTCGAGTGTTGATACGAATTATTCCCATCATTCCCGTTGTTTTCTGTTTGAGCAAGCGATGCTTGAGGTGGTCTGTAATTTTTTGGCTTCGGAGGCGGTATAGGTTTGTAAGTGCCTCCCGGTTTATTTTGCGACATTGGTATCGATTTGTAATCGGTGGATCGGCTATAATATACAAAAAGCGATAATTTTATGCTAACTTATGCTATGTTGGTAAAAGAAAAAAGTTTGAAAAGAAGAAAATTAGAATTTAAAATAAATTATATATTAATTATATATAAAATTACTTTACAGAAGAAAAAATGATTCAAAAAAGAAGAAGAGAAAAATTTTTATAACACCGCTTTTTATAGAAGAATATATTAGTTCTTAAATAAATACTAGTATATTTCCATATATTTGTTATTGGCTACATACCTAATTGAACCTGAGATCTGGTTAATCTATACGGATCGTGCGCTCTCACCGACATATTACTGCTTTTGACATCATCAGGTACATTCGGGCCCAAACGACCTGTTGATGCGTTTAAATTCACCGCCCCATAATTCGCATTTCCATTGGTATTGTTGTATGAATCGTATGAAGACATGCTGTCGTAACTTCCCTATGTATGCAAATATATTTGATCAAAAATATTAATGTGTGTCTCTTTTCTTTAAAAAGCTTATTTTTTATATACAATTTCTAATCATATATATACAATTATATATAAATATATGGCTTAATAAAAAAAAAGAAAAAATAATGGATCGACGTTTACCGCTTTCGGCTGCGCTCGTTCGAGAGACGATGTGGCATTTGCTTTGTGAGGAGTCGCATTGATATAATTCCCCATATCCAGGACCGAATCAATTTTATTTACTCCTAGCCGCTCCTGGGCGGATCGTCCTACAGTTCCCCGCGGCGTTTGATTAATCGGCTTCACGTTTCGATCAACCCGCGGCGGTAGATCCGGAGGACTGTGATGAGGAGATCTAGGTTCGGAGGAACCACCCAAGTATTCTGGCGAGCCGGATTGATTACTCATTTGACCGGACAATGAGAAACCGTACTTGCTGTCTCCCATCCCGCCTTGAGATCTTCTCTTTTGCTGCTCAAATGATTGCTATGAATAAACATATCAATTAATTATACGCAATAATTATAGCTTGCAATACAATTTCGTTATGCAATTTGAAAAGATAAACTCTATATTAATTCACTAAATTTCAATCGATCTATCAAAAGTTAATTAAGAAATTGAAAAAAGATGCTTCAAGTTTATACGAAAATTACTGTTTTTCGGTTCTAGTTTTTTAAAAATTAAAACAAAAATGTATTCAACGAGACATTATAAATTCCTATCTGTGAAAATTAATTTCAAGAGGCATGAATCGCTTTCTTTGATTTGAATCTAAAAGCATACATTACCTGATAATTCGTCGAATACGGTGGCGGCGCAGTGGTGTCATCTTGAGTAGCAATACTGGGGTCAGAACTGCTCTTTAACCGCGACGGTGGACCCAAAGTGCCGGGAATAACGGGTGCCGGACTCAATTCCAAATCGCTTTCCGGGGAGGAAGCGTAGGAGAGGCGAGAAGTCATCGGGAATAGGAAATCATCCGAGAGAGCTTCTTCTGGCTACGAACGCAGACCACAGAGGACATAATGTTACGCAAATGATACATAAGTATGTGAATTAACAATGGCACAATGTATTTGTTATTTGCGCGTGTATGTATATTATGTATTGCAGTATAATAATATTTACGATCAATAAAATGCAATGAATAAATTATTATATTTTTATGAGAGCTTTGTATCGCATTAAAATTTAATAATTGAGTATTTATAAGAAAGGAGATTATAAATTAATAAATGATTTATGAAGAAGAAGCAAAATATAGTTAATGTAATGAGTATTAGTATCAGCATTCATATTTTCAAAGGCATACACACAACACATATTGAAAACTAATATCGTGTAAAATTCATTCAAGTAATCCTTCCGAAAATAACGACAAATTTTCAAAAGTATCTTTTATATAATCTGTGAAAAAATTCTCTTTTGATTAGCTTGCTTGAAAAAAGCAAATTTTTCCAAATTTTAATTGCAACAAAATGGAAAAAGAAAAACTTGTGTTTTTATCATATCCTTTCAAAATCTTTTTACTAGTTATTATTTGCAACATAGCAGAATGGTAAAAACATCTAAGTTTTTCCATTCCTTTTTTATAATTAAACTGCAAAACTTTTTTATTTTTATTTGCGTTAATGATTTAAACTGTAATTGGAATTTTTGATAAGTTGATAATTTTGAGGAGAGAAAATAGATTATAGATAAAGTCATGCAAACTAAAGAAAAGCACATATCGAGCATGCAGTATTAACCCTTTAACTATTTTAAGAGAGTATCATTCGTCTACAATTTGCATACAGCAGTCGAATATGCTCACGTTCGATTAATTTAGTTCTTGTACGCGATGTTGTCACGATAAAAAAATATTATAAAAATCAATTAAATATAAAAAAAATTATCAGAATTGAATCTCAATATTCTAAAAATAAAATGCATATTTATTAAGAGATTATAATAATAAATAAAATTTGTGTGTGAACGATAAATATATATACTTTATATAGTATACAAATATGTACTGCTATAATCATTATCTTATATAATACATATAACATATATGCATATTTATATATGATGTTTCAATCGATAAACTTATTTTAAGTGTATCTTTATGCGCAAAACTTGACAAAGAGCACATTGATCATGTATATAATCTTCTACATTTCGTAGTTAAAGGGTTAAAAACAAGAGCAGGAATTTATATATAGCCGAAAAATTGCTCACGGATGACATTTGAGTTGAAAGGCGGAAGTGGCGGAAGTTTTTCCACAAAAGATGTCGGTAAAATTGGCGACTGATGATGCGACAAAAGCACGTCATGATTCTTATTCTCATCATAATATATGTTATTGTTGGAAAACGGAGGTAGTGGAAGGGCGGGAGGTGGAGTATGAGCATGTATAGATGGATGCGACAAGTCCCACACCGTGTATTGACTATATATCGACTATAACGAACAGAATCGTCGTACAATTTAGTGTATATACGAGCGACGAAAAGAATCGTGATATTCGTGAGAAAAGTGTGAAAATAGAAGAAAGAGAAAATCAAAAAATAGATGTATTTCTTTTAGTTGGAGACTTTCTAACAGCTTTTTATATATTTAAAGAATAAAACAAAATAAAATAATATACGCGCATCTTGAGAAGACGCGAGATTCATTATGTACTACTTCCCTACCTTGGTTTGACTCATCCATAGTAAGCCTTGCTGCTGACGGTCAATGAGCTCTCTGAGCTTCCGGTACCAAGCTTCCGGCGCATTGAGAGTAATCACCGCGCTAAACACGTGTCCCCAGATTTTATCGAGCTTCTGACATTGTTCTAGAAGCTTTTTACTGCTCTTGTGCGCTGATCTGTAATTATACGTCGTGTATAGAATCCAGCGATATAATTGCAGTATTATCTTGCTACATCGCTCTTACTTTGGTATGCCAGCTCTCATCTCCTTGATGACTTGCTTCGTCTCGGCCTTCAGGAAGATAACAATTGGATAAAACTGGGCGTAATTTAAGCGATCCACGGCATTCGGAGTGATGTCCAACAACGCATGTTTGCTCCTTTCCATTACCTCTCTGATAGCGCTTAACCGAATGATACCAGATGTTTTAGTATTCTTTCCCGTACCGTCCTCCATTTGGCTTTCCATTTCTATAAAATTCAATATCCAATTATTAGTAATTTGCTTTGACAAAGTGAACTTTGCATAATAGCTCGCGCGCGCGCGCGATGTCAGTGAACAAATAAATATATTACTCACGTGGGGAGGTGAACTTATCGGGGAAATCCTTGAGAAGTTTTTCCCTAGCGAGATCAGCTACGGGCCCAAAGAGAACAACGGGCCTGATAAATCCGGGATGTCGTAGGATCACACGCTCGTAAGCTGGAAACTTGCTAACGCTATCGGAGAACACCACATCGTCCCAATGATCCTAAAGTATATTTACAAGAAACATAAAAATATTGATCTTATCAGTTATTAACGTAGAAAAGTTAATTTTTTCGATTTAATGTTTATAACATGATATCAAAAGACATAGTAATTTTTAAAAAAGAAAAAGTATATATTATATATATATTTCTTATTTAAGGTAAACGAGAGAATTGCATGCGTACCCTTCCTAAAGATTTTGAACGTCTGTGGCTATTTCTTCTTCTTCTGAAAAAGCTACCTCTACTTTCGCTAGCACTCATCTCCTTCTTCGTAGCGTTAAATTGCGCGGTTGCGAGCTCTTCAGCGCGGGCTTTGTTAGGTATAATGCCCTTCTGTACCTCCTGATTGTTTCGTCCAATTCGAAAAACCTGCCAGGATCCAACAACACCATTGTGAAGGGTATCCACCACATGAAAGACATCTCCGCTGCGAAAACTCATTTCACCTTTCTGTGGTTGCTCATAATGAAAATGAGTCCTATGCAAAAATACACACCAATTTTAATCAAGCCAAAAAAATTAACGTTAATTGGAATTAATTATATGTTCTTTTATATATACACACATACACACACACACACATACACACACACACACACACACATCCAAGTTAATACGAATATATTAATAAAGTCCGATATTTTTTTGGTTCTTTCATGTACTACACGAATATTTAACAATAATTTCTTGATAATTCACACTCAAAAAGACAGAATTTATATCTGAACTGTTTGTGAAATTTAGAAAGAATGTTTTTCTGTGGCG